TAACTCTGTAATGGTCTAGTATATACCATAATTGTGTTATTATAACTCTGTAATGGTCTAGTATATACCATAATTGTGCAATTCTAACTCTGTAATGGTCTAATATACTTCTTTTTCTATAAATTTTAGTTAATTTTGTTGTCACCAAAAGCATATTTCCTGATGTCGTCAACTCATACAGCCAAGTAAACGCCCCCCTGTACCTAACGACAAAAGATACCATCGAGAAGGACGAGAAAGTAAGTTTTACGACAATTTTTATAACTTTCGGTTTTAAATTCTCGGTCTTTGGTATAAGATAAACGTTCATGAATTCCACGAGAGCTATACACAAATATTCCATTCGGTTAACGTTATCATTACAATTCACTTTACTTACTTTTCGGTGGCCAAATTTAGTTATTTAGGGTTAGTATACACGTGTGTGTGATTGGATACTTTTAAAGAAGAGAAGGACGACATCCCAAATTCTTTATTTGATTTGTTACAAACGTGAAAGTGTTATAAAATAAAAACAGTGTGAAAGATTTATCTTCTCCAAAATTCGAACAAGCTTCTGATTTTGACTGCTGGTTAACTTTCGTTCTTGGAGCTTCTGTTTAAAAGAAAAGTGATTTTTCTTTTGTCTTTTTAGAGTTTTCGTTTTTATGGAGACAGCCTTTCCTGACTAGAGTTTATTAGATCTAAATCTGATGAATTATTCATGGTGTAATAGACAGAAATAAGGAATTATTCACACTCTCATAGAAATATATAATGAATTATTCATGCTCTAATAGAAATATATAATAAATTATTCATACTTTAATAGACAATAAAAGGAATTATTTATGCTCTAATAAATATATATAATGAATTATTCATACTTTAATAAACAATAAAAGGAATTATTTATGCTCTAATAAATATATATAATGAATTATTCATACTTTAATAGACAATAAAAGGAATTATTTATGCTCTAATAAATATATATAATGAATTATTCATACTTTAATAGACAATAAAAGGAATTATTTATGCTCTAATAAATATATATAATGAATTATTCATACTTTAATAAACAATAAAAGGAATTATTTATGCTCTAATAAATATATATAATGAATTATTCATACTTTAATAAACAATAAAAGGAATTATTTATGCTCTAATAAATATATATAATGAATTATTCATACTTTAATAAACAATAAAAGG